TTCAATTCACATTTCTGGACTTTCCAGCACCGTGTCTTGGCACAACCGTTCGAGAGTTAAGGAAGGTGAAGCCCGGACCATTGCCTTATTTGGGTGGTAAAAAAGGGGTCATTTTACCGACATCGGAGACATCTTGGTCAAAGCACTTTGTAGAAGTTTTGACGGGGAGGGACTGGCGTACAAATCCAGATACCAGCACAACAATGTACCGAGAAACAGGTTCTTGTGCTAATTCAGAGGAAGCATAAGCCGGGGAGGATGGGGGCCCTGAAGTGCAATCTGTCACCTGGGGTGGCCAGCAAATACATTTTTGCATGAAAACCGAATCTGTGTCCATCGTACTTGGGCCGATGTTCGGGAAGTGAAGCCACTTGGTGCTATTTCAGCGTGGTTCAGCATGCTAATGCTCTGACCTGGATGGCCCAGGCTAGCCCAATTTCGTCAGATCTCAGAAGCTAAGAAGGAATCAGCCTGGGTTAGTATGTGGATGGGAGGCTGCCAAGGAAGTCCAGGGTTGCTACACAGAAGCAGGCAGTGGCAAGCCACCTCTATTCATCTCTTGCCCTCTCCTGGATGGTCCAGGCGAGCCTGATCTTATCAGATCTCAGAAGCTAAGCAGGGTCAGCCGAGATAGTACTTGGATGGGAGACCACCAAGGAAGCCCAGGGTTGCTATGCAGAGGCAGGCAGTGGCAAGCCACCTCTATTCATCTCTTGTACTGATCTGGATGGCCCGGGCTAGCCCGATCTCGTCAGATCTCAGAAGCTAAGCAGGGTCAGCCGAGATAGTACTTGGATGGGAGACCACCAAGGAAGCCCAGGGTTGCTGTGCAGAAGCAGACAGTGGCAAGCCACCTCTATTCATCTCTTGTACTGATCTGGATGGCCCGGGCTAGCCCGATCTCGTCAGATCTCAGAAGCTAAGCAGGGTCAGCCGGGATAGTACTTGGATGGGAGACCACCAAGGAAGTCCAGGGTTGCTACGCAGAGGCAGGCAGTAGCAAACCACCTTTGGACATCTCTTGCCCAGCCCCGAATGGCCCAGGCTAGCCCGATCTCATCAGATCCCAGAAGCTAAGCAGGGTCAGCCTGCTTACACAAGCATCTTTCTCTGTCACCAAATTGACAGCCCCTTCCCGTTTTTGCTTCAGTGGGCTAGTGCGGTAGCCATTTCCCACATGATCACAGCTTCGATTCACCTTTGACTCCAGCCAACAGATTCTCAGTAGGATAGGATTCCATAGAGTCCCACCCTCCAACGCAGCCATTTTCTCCAGGGGAACTGATCTCTGTCGTTGTTGTAATTCTTGAAGAGCACCAACCCCCACCTGGAGTTTGGCAACTCTAGTCCTTGGTATAACTGGAGAGCATCTTTGGTGGCTTGAGCCAATGCAAGGTGTGGGTACATGAGAGGGCAGGGCATTATGAAGAATTCCAGGCTGTGAATTAATAGTTGAGACGTTTGAAGATGATTGTTAATAAAAGGCAATTAGGAAGCATCTGTGGTGTCAAATGGTTAAATGCAAAGCCACCGTTTGAAATTAGCAAGCGGCGCTTAAAGGTAACATGGTGCATGTCTCCTTTGCCAACTGGTACTAGCTTGAAAAAATGAAGCCCAGTCCTTAGTTTTTAGCCGTAGTCAGGGGTCATTTCGTAGAAAAAGAGGTGCAGGAGCTCATTAGCATAACTCATTAGCATAACTTATTTGCATATGCCACACCCCCTGGCATCACCGGAAGTGTGTCAGAAGACAACACCCACTGCTCAGGCTCCACTGGACTGTTTTGGATTGCTAGCTATGGGGGGGGGACACACGCAGATCCTTGTGCTCCTCTTAGCTTGGGGCTGCTGGGAGCAAGGGGCGGGGGCTTGTTGCATGTGCCCGCCCCCTGGGCTCTTTACTGCTGGAGCTCCGCTCCTGTGCGCTCCTGCAGGAAATGACCCCTGGCCATAGTCTATTTCAAGATGGCATTGGCCACATAAAACCATGCCACCTTTGGTAACCTTTGGCATGTAGTTGAGGACTAAGGATTGATTCACACAGTAAAAGGTCCACCTTTCTCCCGTGGTTGACTCTGAACAGACATGACTTCACTGCCACAGACACACGGAATTCACTGCCACAGGAGGTGGTGGTGGCTACAAGCATGGACAGCTTCAAGAGGGAATTAAATAAGCATATGGAGCAGAGGTCCATCAGTGGGTATTAGCCACAAAGTATAGATAGGGACTCTCAGTCTGGGGCAAGTGATGCTCTGTCTTCTTGGTGCTTGGGGGGGCAACAGTGGGAGGGCTTCTAGTGTCCTGGCCCTACTGCTGGACCTCCTAATGGCACCAGGTTGGACTGGATGGGCCACTGGCATGATCCAACATTGGCTTCTCTTATGTTCTTATGACTTCCCAAGCTGGAATTCGCTTCTCGGGTGTGTGCAAGTCCAGTGTGGATCAGTACTATAATATGTGGGTTCAGTCTCCCCCCAGCACTGTTTTCCCAACTGAAAATAGTCACGGTAAGCCGCTATGTGTCCAGTCAGGGAAATGCAAGTGTAGCTATCACTATGTGCAAACTGGAAAGTATTTGTGCTGTTGTGGTTTACTGTATTTGAGATTTCGGTTGTTTGCTTGCTTCGAGTTGTAGGTTGCATTGGGCAATGGGATTAAAAAGAACAATAAAAACCCTCACAAATATTTACTTAAGAGTTGTGGAGTTTACTTCCCTGCTATCCCATTTAGGATTATGCCTTTAGTCGGCCGATTGCATTTAATCAGTACCTTTGGACTCTGTTTCTTTAGGATAAGATAGGAGAGAAGAAAATACATTTTTCTCCCTCTCCCAAAATACTAGAACTCAGAAGCAGCCAATGACACTAATGGGCAGTAGGTTCAGGACAGACAAAACGGAATACTACTTAACACAAGAGAGTGATTAAAATGTGGAATTCTCTGCCAGAGGATGTAGTGATGGCTGCAGGAATAAACAGCTTTAAAAGGCGATTGGATGGATTCGTGGAGGGTAAGTCTTTCAGTGGCTACCAGCCATGGTGGCTGAAGGGAACTTTCCAATTCAAAGGCACTAAGCCTCTGAATCCCAGAGCCAGGAGGCAACATCAGGGGAAAGCCTCGGCCTCTATGCCCTGTTGTTGGCCCTCCAGAGGAACTGGTTGGCCCCTGTGTGAGACAGGATGCTGGACTAGATGGACTATTGGTCTGACCCAGCAAGGCTCTTCTTATGTTCTATTGCTGATGAATGAGTCTTCTTTATTATTGCGTCCAGATTTCTGGCTCTGAAAGGGAAAGGAAACATCTGGTTCTGCAGTGGGGAAATTGGGGTCCCTTGTACGGCTGCAGTTGGGTTCACCTTTTTCCTCCGGCCGTGGCCTGAGGCAGCTGTAATGAAACCTCAGCTTTTCTTCCGGGAGAGTCTTCCATCTTATTCCTTCAGGAATGTTTTCCCTCTCTTTGTTTCAGTAGCATGTGATGAAGTGAGCTCTTTGACTCACTGACACTATGTGGGAGTAAACTCCGTTTGTCTTTTAAGGCTCCCCTGGACGCCGGGGGGTTTTTTTTGCTGCCATTGTGGTTGTGGTAAAGATTTTGGGCTTTATGCCACCTTCCCAATTGGGATGGTCTAAAAAAAAAAATTGAATGTTGATAGACTTGAGACCCCCTACTTGGAAAGAGAGTGTCTGCTTTATGTGTTTACAAAATTTATATCCTGCCTTCCTGCCAAGGCAGCGAACAATTTGAAACATACACAATAAAATTATATTATTAAACCATTAAAATTTATCCCCCCCCACATACATAATTAAAACAACTCTTTAAAAGAGTTGGAAAAAAACAGAGTTAAAATATATACCAAACATAAAAACGTTGGTTAGGGGAATGGAGGTACTTTGCTCAAGGAGTAACTAAGTTGTGGAATTCCCCACAAATGGTTGGTTATAAAGAATTTAGGGTTGCCAACCTCCAGGTGGTGCAAACCAAAGAGAGAGATCATGGGGTGGAAGTTGAGAAGAAGCAAACAACCGTGATGCAGAACATGTCACGGTTGTTTGCTTCTTCTCAACCTCCGGGTGGTGGCTGGAAATTACAACTGATCTTCAGGTGCCAGAGATCAATTCACCCGAGAGAAAATGGCCTCTTTGTAAGGTGGACACTTTGGCAGCATACTACGTTGATTTCCCTCCCCTCCCCCAAACCCTGTTCTCTTTGGGCTCAACCTGGAGCTGGTAAACCTAATAAAGATGGATAGTAGAAAATGTGGGAGTTGCTTCTGATGTAGGATTAGGGAGGCCAGCTCTGGACTGGGAGAGAACTGTGACTGACCCAAGGTCACCCAGCCAGCTGCATGTGGAGGAGGAGTGGGGAATCAAACCCGGTTCTCCAGATTAGAGTCCGCTGCTCGCGGCTATTTTCTCCAGGTGAACTGATCTCTGTCCTCTGAAGATCAGTTCAGCTACCACTTGGAGGTTACAAACCACCAAAAAATATATACTGTACTCTAAACAAGAGACAAGAGAGCCGAATTGAAGCTAGATAGACTGCCAAGTCAGAGAACTTTGAGAGCTTTTGGGGCTCCCCCACTGAGACAGCGTCCTGAAGAAGTCAGAGGAAACGGACATCAACCCAGGCGATCCGTAGCCGCTTCATTTGTGACTGTGTTTAGAGACAAAGAGGGAGCGGTTGATGACTTCTGTGAAAAAGAAAATACTAATTCATTTTAAGGACACAATTTGTTGTCTAATACTTTATTTGTACAGTATTTTTTTGGGTGTTTGCATACTTGCAAATGCTGTACATCCATTGGTGGTTGACTACCACCTGAAGCCTGGCTATCCCAGGTAGGATTTTATTCTGGCATATTGAGAGATGTGGGTAGAGAATTGGACATGAAACGGCCTGGAAAACCATGTGGGACTCACTTTATTTTCTGTGTCTGTCCCGCCGCCCCAGGCTTGCAAGGGCCCGTCGGGGGTGCCGGGGGAAGTGATGACCCAGGACCGTTGGGTGGGGTGCATCCTTACAAATACGCTATACTGCCGATGGTAAGCTATCAAGACCTATTCAAGCCCAAAAAGGTGTCAGACAGGGTTGCCTTCTTGCTCCTTTTTTATTTAATTTGTATGTTAACTGTTTGATAACTTGCTTACATGAAATTGATATCTCAGCACCCACCTTGGGCATGGGAAAAAAAATCCCTGTGTTAATGTATGCAGATGACACGGTGCTTCTTTCACGTACTAGAGGATGTCTAAAAAGGGCGTTAGAAAAATTTAGTGCACAATGCCAAAAAGAGTCTCTTACTGTAAATTACTCAAAGACAAAGATCATGCGTTTCCATAAAAAATACAAAGAAATGAAATGGTCAATGGATGGGGTACGGGTAGATCAAGTTAAAAATTTTAAATGTTTGGGACTAACCTTCTCATTTAATGGAAAGGCTTCTAGACATCTCCAAAATGCTGCATGTTCAGCACAAAAGAGTGCAAATGCTATATTGCGCTTCTTTAGGAAAGAGGGAGCCCAATATGTCCTGGCTGCTCTTAAATTATTCTTGAGCAAAGTTCTCCCACAAATGATATATGGAACACAAATACTAGCAGAGAGTAAATTTAAAGATCTAGAGGTAGTACAATCGAAATTCCTTAGAGCACTTTTCAACGTCCCAAAAGGTACTGCAAATTTGAGTTTAAGACAAGAAGCAGGTTTATCTACTGTTACACTGAATATTTGGATTCAGAGGAGTAATTATTGGGTTAAGTCCCATTTGAATCCAGTGGGACTTATTCCTGATCTTTTGGCATCAACACCATATCCCCAATGGGCTCTTAGAGTAGTAGATAAATTGAAACTAATTGGGTTAGATCCTGAAAATCTGCTAGAGGGAGGTCTGCAGCATGCAAAGAATTTAATATACCAAAGATTTAAGGATATTGAAACACAAAACGACTATGCAGCCCTGCCTTCCTATTATAAGAGATTAAAGCAGGGACCAAGTTT